TTAAAAAAAAAAAAAAAGACCCGTACCTGTAATTGAGCCAACAATGATGCATCTGCGTTGTGGGTAATCCGACTGCTTCATCTCGTCCAGTAGCAATCTCGACAGAAGAAAATGCCCCAAATGGTTAGTCCCCACACTAAGTTCGAAACCATCAGCCGTAAAAGTCGGCTCCTTTGCAGTCGGCAGATAAACGGCCGCATTGCAGACGAGTACATCCAGAGGCCTTCCCGAACACCTGAACGTGTCCACAAACTGACGAACACTCTCGAGGGACGCCAGGTCGAGGTGCATTACCGTGTAATTCTCCCTGGGCATGCCTGCTGACCTGGCGGCTTTCTCTGCCTTGAGGAAATTACGGCATGCCATGATCACATGCCATTTACCAGTTTCTGTCAGAGCTTTAGCTGTGGCCAGACCTAATCCGGAGGATGCCCCGGTGATGATAACATTGCCCTTTCGTACGGTTTTTTTGTTGTTTTCGGGTGAGGATTTGGTGATGGAAGGTGTGGCAGCAGCCGTTTGGGCCTTGATTGGGCCCAATGTCCGGTTTTTTAGTAGATTCTGTAAGAAAATGTCATCCTACTCTGTTTACTAGGTGATAATTGGATATGTATCTTTGTTGTTCTTATCAGAATTTTCAATCACTTAATGTATACATATACTACATTTATACGATGATGTTGAAATGCAATTAGCTTTATAGTCACTCGGAAAGACCTTTATCCTTAGTCATCTACACTGATATTCGAAACCTCTGACTTTTCCAATTTAGAATTAATCAGCGAGCCAAACACAAAAAGGGGAACTGTGAATTATACCTTATTGAAGGAAGGGCAGAATTCAACTCTAAGGCCTGTTGGCAGCGGAGCTCCAAAAATTGATGTCTCTTTCACCGAAGCTCCTTTGTTCTAACAACATTTTGACATAAAAAATAAAATAAGAGACGAAAACCGGAGAGCTCAAATAAAACCAACAGATCTGTAAAATACCTCTTTGGCGAGGAAAAGAGTTGTGGGTACTGCCTGAAGGGCCATATATATATAATGGAAGTGAACGAACAATCAATTAACAAAGTACAAGACGACTTAGACGAGTACAAAACAGCAATTTTTCCGTATTTTTCTTGCGCCTGTTATTTTGTGGACTGAGAATGTGTGTAAGATGGAAATGGGGAAGAGAAACAAATGAAAGTGTAAGAGATAAGGTGGTCGTGGTATTTTAGGATGTACGTATGCCACATCAGCATTTTCGATCCATTCAGTGGACGAGATTGGATTCTCTCTCATAAATTTCGTTTTTTGTTTTTTATTTTTTTTATTTTTTAAACAATAGAGTATCTATATATATATTAAAGTGAAGCAGCTAAAAATTCCCTCCAGAACTATATTAATTACTAGAAATAAATTTTACCAACTTCTATGCAAAATTTTCATCAAAAACTACATTTACTACATTGAAATAAATTTTTATCAATTTCTATGTATGATTTATCAATAAAAAAATATTTGTTACATATGGATAATTAATTTGTATTCATAATTGTATTGGAATTTGCACTCCAATTTCTCTTGGCTAAATAAATGTTTCAACTACTTATATGATCATGAAATAAATTTTGTTAATTTCTATGTATTATTTACCATTCAAACAATATCACAATTATTTGTTACAAATAAATACTTATTTTAGTCATAATCAATTATTGTACAAATTTTTGTTAAATATTTTTTGTAACGCCCCGCCTTAACTTAATTATCAGAGTGCGTTTACAAGACATATTTTAAAATAGTTTGAGAAAATGATTCGGAGCGTTACTAAAACATTTATTTTATCTTTAAAAATCCGTTACGATCGTTTAAAATTTACAACAAAAACGGATTTATATAATAAACAATCCGACTATGAAATCGGATCAAAAGTCAAAGTTTGTCAAACAGTAAGTTCAGCGGAATATAGCGTGGCAAAATATACAGCAAAATATTTAACTTCGATCCACCCGTCAACTTCACAGCTCCGGACCGACTTCATGACCTGAAAAATTTTATAAAAATGGGGAGTGAGTACCACTGCACTCCGTAGGAACTCATACTAAAGTAAACAGCAATAATAATAGTAATATCATGATCAGAAGCATATAACATAACCGTGAATTTCCTGGTCAACAGTATAAACCGGACCGGGATCCGTGAATCTACCGGCTGCCATGATAATAATAATGATAGCAATGATAAGCCGGAATCCATGTGCACATACTAGTGGTAGATGATGCCACTAGAACTTAGAACGGAATTATGGCAACCTGAACCGGCCAACATCCATTCCAAGCGGAAAACATGATTGACATACCTTGAACATGATATCGTAATTATAATCAATGTAATACCCAGTCTGAGTCCCCACCTGTACTGAAGATATGAAACTGGAAGTGCTGATAGTCGTGAACTGATCAAACTGTAACATAATATAAACAATTACTAAATACTATGCTCAGATCAATAAATTTAACTGTTAAGATGCTCGACTCGACTTAATATGATGTCCGAATATAAAGGAACGGTCTAAAGGTTCACAGAAATAATTCTAAGTCCGGAAATTATACTGATATGCTTAACTGATCTAATTTGGCTCGGAAAATAATTTAAATTTCAGAATAAGACTCGGACCGAAAATCACGAACCAAAACGGACTTGAACCGCCGGCTAAACCGGCCGGTTCGCTAACTGGATGAACCGGGTCGGGCTGAAACGGACCAATTGGACCATCGGTTCACACTAAACCGGGTGGTCACGGGCTGGCATGGCTCGGTCCCGTGCCGGGCCTGCTGGGCCATGGCACGGCACTGGACACGGGCTAGGCATGACTGGCCTCGGCACTAGGCGCTGCTGGGCGCGGGCAGTGCGGCTGGCACTGGCCCTGGCACTGGCCGGGCGCGAGTGACGCGGGATAGGCGCGTACCCGGGCTAACTGGGCACTGGGCGTGCGGCTGGCACGACCCAGGTGCGACTGGCGCGAGAAATGACACGGCCAGACATGACTCGTGCGTCTCGGGTGCGACTAAGACTTGTCAGGGTGCTGCCGGGCGACCCTGGGCACGCGGGCGTGCTGTTGGGCACGTCCAGAGGCCTGTTAAGTTACTCGTGGTCAATAAGGCACAGTACTACACACTCGGGTGTGCTGTTGGCACGACCCGAGGTCAGCAGCGCGTGGCACGAGTGACTGTCCCGGGGTCGCGCATACCCGGCACTGGGACAGCACTGCCGGCATGGCCGCTATGTGCGGCAGCATGCCGTGACCGGCCCTTGCCGGCCGTTCGGCCTCTTTCCTTGATCAAAATGACATAACATGACATGATTAACACATTTATATGTACATGAGTCTGAGGGTCATGATAAAAACATGAAATTTGATCTTATTTGACATGATGGGCCACGGCGTGCGCGACAGGCGCGTCCGACGGCCTTAACGTATACCCTCGACCAAACTTGAACTTTTCTCGTGCAACATGAGTTAATGGACCATAATTTATCATTTAAAGGTTGTTGGAACATAAATGTCCCTAACAAAGTTGATCACAATGAAAGATACCCTAGTAGGGTAAGACATGGCCCGTGGGCGCGTGCTACGTGCACGGTCAACTTTCCTTGGCCATTTCATCAACAAATCGACAATTTATCTCGGGCTATATTTTAAAACTGAACATATCACATTAAATAAAGACTAATGATGCATGGTTTGCTCGAGAGAAGTTTGCTATATAAAGAGATGTTATAATATGGCCTAAAATGCACACCCGAGAGCATTTTCGAAGAATACATGAACTTAGACCCATAATTTGAACTTGGTATGATACAAGTAACATCATAACAGGGTTAGAATCATATTACCCTTTGATTGCCCGAAGAAATTTGATAGGATGTTGATGATGGTTTGGTCCTTTTCTTCTTCCTTGCGCGCGTACGTAAGTTGTGATTAAAATATCTTAATCTCGATTATAGTTTGCTTAGGACATAGCTTAAGTTATATGATGGAAATATGTCCAAGAGTTGGGATTTATAAGCCGTGAAATGGATGAAAACGTGAGGTAAATGTTCTTAGCCAATGAGCTCGTGCCATTTGCCGCATTCCTAGGGCACGAGGTGTACTTTCATGGGCTTAGTCATCACTTACTTGGCACCACAAGGCCACTTGGCTAGGAAAGGATATTGTTCACGTGAATTTGCCCCAAATTTCCATCCACTTGAGTTCATTAATTAGTTAAGCACGCTTAGGGCTCGATTATGCGTGATTACCCTAGATTAAGGCGATTAGAAGAAAATTAAGCACCCTAGCCGTGCCATGAGCAATGTTTAAGGACATATGATAGTAGAATGATTACTTAGGCTTAAAATGAACATAATTGAGGTACTTAAGGAACCATTAAGTATGATTATGCGTATGATTACGCACGATTAGCGCAAGATTAGCACATTTATCGCTCGATTAAATATGATTTAATTCGATAATATTTTTATCGGGCGATTGAACATAAATTGACTTATACTTTAATATCTAATGGTTCCAAGAATAATATGAACATTACGAAACTAAGTACGTAATTTACATTAGGTAAAAATGGGCTATTACATTTTTTATGCTTTGTGAGTGACATAATTATTTGTTACAAATAATATTTAATACTATACATAATTATTTATTATGAATTCTCATTCCAATATCCCACTTATTATTTGTCTCTCTTCCCATTTGTGAGTATGAGTTCCTTTCCTTATATATTATATTTTTTCTTATAAAAATAAATTATCAACCTCATTTAAGTAATCATTAAAATAATTTTTAAAGTAAATTTTTTATTTAAAATTATTTATTTTTTTATACATATTTATTTATTTTTGAACATCAAACACAATATTAATTTTTTCGGTTATATTCGAAATATTTCAAGGTAAAATAGAAAAAATCATAATTAATACAATATATGCATGTAATATAATAAATAAATATTTTATAGTTTTTAATTTGGTATCTATATTGCATATATATATATCGATAAACTTTTAGATTCGATATGTCAATTTAAAATTCTATATACACATGTTCAATGTTTACATATAAATATTTAATAATAGCACCATGTCACCTTTGACACATATACTCTAATATGATGGGATTTTCGTACACATTAATAAAATATGTAATCATCTCTTATTAATCTAATATTATATTATTTTAACCTCTATGTAATTCTAAGAAATTACAAGTAACCATTAAATTATTTGTATAGAGTACCTCATTCCTAAACAATATCTTTTAATTTAAATTGTAAAAAGTCTAATCAGTCACAAACTCTTATGTGAGCTGGGGTAGGGTTTAGTCAAGTCAACGTATCATTCTTTTTTAACAAAAATGCCAACTTAGACTTCTAAATTTCATACTTTTGTTTATTTTATTTTATAATATATTTTTTAAAAAACAAATGCAATACAAATAGAGAGAGGTAAAAAATAATGAAGTTATATTTATAATAAATAATACAATTTATTCAACTAAAAAATGTATATTTTTTTTTTTAAATATCATCTATAGTTTTTGGGGATGACCCTTTATATCCATATAAAATAGATCTCGAAAATGTTGAATAGACTTTACTTGGGTAAAAGAAACTTCAAAAACTATATGAATTGAAGTTTCTTTTATTAAAACCATGAATATGAAAACAAGGAAAACAAAAAAAAAAGAAAAATAAGACATCTTAAAATTCGAAAATGTCATGAAATTGACTGTATTTTATAGATAAACATTAGACTAATATTTCAAAACTGATATTGTAAAAAGAAAACAAAATCCACAAATGATAGCGTACAAAAAAAGAGATATGACATCATTTCAAAGAGACAACTCATGGATTTGATTGTGAAGGCTGAAAAGAAAAATGCATATATATCGTTCATTTCTTCAACGAATTTTCAACTATATATAGATCGTTTCATGTTATTTTTTGTATTTTATTATTTTTAGTTGGTATAATTTGTTTTATTTATGAAAATATTGAAGAGTCCACTTAAACACATGCGCGCATAAAGTTTTCGCCATCATAATTTTTTTTATTGGTCCAAACGTATACAACTATATAATTTCTGAGGCATAACAAGTTAATTTCATTGTTAATGTTTTATTTGCATATCATATATTATTTTCTTAA